ACCAACTGTATTTGGATAATATTAATAAACACGTATGCTATTCATTTTCTAATAATATGATCTATAACATTTGTGTTCATTTATTTATAAATATAATATTTTTGGCGATTGTGTCACTATATTATGGTGTATATAAGGTATACGATTATAATTCAGTCGCTATATTATGTAACAAGCTAATTAATAAATTAAATATGTTATCATATCTCAGAAATCCATTGAATTTAAGACAAAACGAAAGGATTGTGCAAAATATGAGTTTCAAAAACAGCAATCAATGGATAAAAATGACAAAATAATGCGCCGGGAGTTTCAAGTGGCCAAGATGTTGGCTGTGGTTACTATTGTATATGTCATATGCTTGACACCATTTAACGTGGGTTACTTTTTCTATGATGCTGGAAACATTGCTCATAAAAGTTATCTGATTCCTGAAATGGGAATGTGGCTTACATATATTAATTCCACCTTGAACCCATTTATCTATGGCTTGTTAAATCCTAATTTTCGTGTTGTATTTAAGCGTTTGCTATATATATAATATAATATTATTTTTAATTTCATAATTTATGTATTTTTAAATAATAATTATATTATAATAAAATTTTATTAAAATATATTTGTTACAGGAAATATGTTTGCAATAATTAACAAGGTTTGCAAGCAATGCTATAGAAACCCACATTTACAGTTGAGCTAATATAGAAATAATTATATTTTCATAAATTAGATATTTATCGTTAATCAATAAAATCTATAAAATTATGCTCTATCACAATTAAAATTGTATTTTGCATTAGCATTGTAAAGTTAAATCAAGTTAGAAGATAGGGAAGAGTATTAAAGGGAAAGGTTCTTAAGCATATTAGGTCATTGATAAATAACTAGTCTTCAAATTGATTCGTTTCTTTATAATAAATGTTGTATTAATGGTCCCTCTTTGAAAATCATCGGTTTTTTCGACGCGTCATAAAGCCAGGGTGACGTTTTTGGAAAGGTCATACAAGGTCATTGCTAATAGGGTGGCCATCATGCGGGTTAGGGAGTGACTGTATTGCTACGCCTCGTGGTGATGTTCGAGTCTCACTCAGCCATATTAAACACTAATGTAACCGATTCTAAAGGATCTTAAGGGGTGCGGGTCTATTGACCTAGGAGCAAAGTCCAAGTTTGTTAAAAAATTAGGTCAATTGGTCGTTAGATCAATTGACCGGTTTCCGTTCTTAAGCATATTAGGTCATTGATAAATAACTAGCCTTCCAATTGATTGGTTTCTCTATAATAAATGCTGTATTAATGGTCCCTCTTTTAAAACCATACCTCTGAGTGATGTGTGACTTAAATAATCTTATGAAATCTCATTAGCGTCATTAATGACGGAGTCGGGGGTGGGGGTGGTATAACCGAAACTATAACCCACTTTTTTTTACTACGTAAATGTGGTTACTACGTAAATAAGTATATTACTAGTATACATTGATTAGTACTTAAATTAACAATTTTACAGTTAATGTAAAAGTAGTGGTTAGAAAACTGAATAAAATTATAATTAATTTTAATAACAAATAGGATATAAGTACAGGAAGTATACACTTATTCTGTGAAAAAATTTGTAACAAAATAAATTAACATTAAATAAGAAATAGATACTAAATGAAACATATTCATAATTTGTTTGTCAGCAAATAATAGCATATTTTCATACAATAAAACCATGAATTCAACGCATGTCTCATCCGATGAATTATATTTCATTCAATTCCTATCATCAATACTACTCTTTATAATCATATTCACTACACTTATAGGCAATGGTTTGGTGATTACCGCGGTTATAACGACACCAAAATTACAAATACGTCCAAATTATCTCATACTATCGCTCAGTATAACCGATCTGTGCGTCGGTGTGTTTGTGATGCCATTATACGCCTACTTCGGTGTCGTCCACATCAGTGATTGGAAATATGGGTCAGTTATGTGTGACATCTACTACACCATAACCGTCTCCCTAATGGACACTTCCGTACTTCATCTCACATTCATAGCCATCGATCGGTACCTATCGATCGCAAGAATACAATATTCGAGGAATACATCCAAAAGACATGTGATGGCAATGATTGCCTTTTCATGGATAACCCCATTATCAGCTACTACTTGGCCTCAATACCGAAGGGATAGCCAATTATTTTTGGATAATATTAATCAAAGTATTTGTTTTCCATTCACTAATAATAAAATAAATAGACTTAATGTTCACGTATCATGTTTGATCGTATTATGTATAATTGTATCCATGTATTACGGAGTATATAAGGTATCATATTAATGCAATATATCAACTAAATATTATATTAGCTGTATATCACAATTTATATTAATTTAATATTTTGTATTTTAGAAATCCATTGAATTCAAGACAAAACGCAAACGATATGAAAGACATGAGTTTCAAAGACATAAACCTGAGGACAAAAATGACAAAATAATGCGCCGGGAGTTCAAAGTGGCAAAGACTGCGGCTGTGGTCACCATTGTATTTGCCATATGTGTCACACCATTCAATATCATATACTTTGTCTCGGATGCAAAAACCATAAGTTATAGACATTTAGCCCACTGGCAAACTTCCCTTTGGATTATGTATATTAACTCAACACTCAATCCTATAATATATGGCGCATTAAATCCTAATTTTTGTGTCGTATTCAAGCGTTTGTTAAAAATCACGTAATCATCAATTAATACATTATTTTGATTTATGTATTTTCTCAAAATTGTAATATTAAAACAACTAAAATATATTTGTAATATGATTTTGTTTTATTTTATTGATTTATTTAATGTAAATGTAAAATAAACTACATATAATTTATTTATTAAAATAAAATAATATTTTTATTTAACAAACAAAAGCGACAAACTTATTTAATGAGAATTAATGGTTTATTTTAGGAAATCCTTTTTTATTTATAAATAAATATTGTGTATATAATGCATTTTGTATATTAGCATAAATAATTTCAAATTAAACATAATTTCAATAGGAAAACTAAATGTGCCTCTACAATCAAGGCTTTATTATTAATCGTTGTATTCAATTCATTACACAATATAAAACTGTATTTAACAAATTAATTTTTGTCATAAATAAGTTTTTTATATATAATAAAATTAACATGCACAGTATTTAAAGCACTTTAATAAGGCAATCATGAATTCAACACATGTATCAACTGATCAATTACATTTCATCCAATTCCTATCATCAATACTATTATTCATAGTAATATTTGTGACAATTATTGGCAATTCATTAATAATATACTCAGTCATTACAACTCCTAAACTCCAAATACGATCCAATTATTTCATACTATCTCTCAGTATAACCGACCTCTCAGTCGGTTTGTTTGTAATGCCATTTTATGCCTATTATGGTATTGTCGATACAAATAATTGGAAATATGGACCAATAATGTGTGATGTATTTCATTTAACATTTGCCGGATTAACAGCCACTTCACTCTTACATATCGTGTGTATAGCCATCGATAGGTACTTATCGGTCACACGAATACAATACTCGAGAAATAAATCCAAATCACATGTTATGGTAATGATTGGCATTTCATGGGTTGGGCCATTTATAGGTACCAGTTGGCCCTCACTTGGCTACAGGGATAACCAGTTATACATACATAATATAGATAAATATATTTGTTTTTCAGTTGGTAACAATATGTTTCTAAAATGTATAGTGCATATATTTTATACAATTGTATTCATTGCAATAGTTTGCCTATATTATGGCATTTATAAGGTATAGAATTGAATAAGTTTTAATCTAAATAAGTAATAATTATAATATACTAACTATTATTTTAGAAATCAATTGAATTTAAGACAAGACTTAATCTTCAAGAAAGACATAGATTTCAAAGACAACAATCTATTGGCAAAAAGGACAAAATAATGCGCCGGGAGTTCCAGGTAGCCAAAAATGCTGCTATTATTACCATGGTATTTATTGTGTGTAGTGTCCCATTCAATATCATACATTTTAACTCCGATGAAAGGACTTTTGACTTTAAATATTTAGTTCATTGGGAAGTTTCACTTTGGATTTTACTTATTAATTCAACACTCAATCCCATAATCTATGGTTTATTTAATCCTAATTTTCAAATGGTTTTCAAACGTTTTTTAAAAATTGAATTAAATATTTAGTTCATTGGGAAGTTTCACTTTGGATTTTACTTATTAATTCAACACTCAATCCCATAATCTATGGTTTATTTAATCCTAATTTTCAAATGGTTTTCAAACGTTTTTTAAAAATTGACCAATAATTAATATAATCAGCTAATGAATTTTAAAAATGTCTTTACATTGTTTTAATTGCATTATTACTGTCAATTAAAGTTTTACATTTACACAAAATTGGCATTTGTCGCAATATTTTCTGTATTATAATTTTTACATCTTTTTAGATTATAAGGATATTGTATACATGTACAGTTTACTTTGAAATAAAATATTCATTACTCTAAATACAATTGTATATCAAAACTATGTAAAGTTATTTAAAAAGTAGTTGTCAAATATTGTTATAGTAAGTTAAAATTATAACTAATTTATAGAACCACTTTTAACTGAAAATGAATTCAATTTAAGTTATCATAAATAATTAATTTAACATATTTTCAATCATATAATTCAATAATCAATCATAAATTCAACACATGTATCAACTGATCAATTACATTTCATTCAATTCTTATCATCAATACTAGTATTTATTATCATATTTATGACAATAATTGGTAACATTTTGGTGATTACAGCGGTAATAACGACACCAAAACTCAAAATACGACCAAATTATCTGATATTATCTCTCGATATAACAGACCTCTTGGTCGGTGTGTTTATGCCATTAAAGGCTTACATTGATATCGTGGACATAGGTGATTTTAAAATTGGGGCAGTTTCATGTGATATTGGTTACATGATTTCAACTAATCTCACATTTATATCAAATCTACACCTCATTGGCATAGCTATCGATCGGTACCTATCGGTCACAAGAATCCAATACTCGAGGAATAAATGCAAATCACATATAATGGTAATGATTGGCATTTCATGGATATTACCACTCATTATAAACATTTGGCCTATACTTGGATTCAGGGATAACCAGAAGTTTATGGATAAAATTAAGGCTAATATTTGTTATGGCGGGTGATAATACAATATAATAATTTGGTTTTATATTAATTTTATCGTTGGGTTTGTCAGATATTGCGTAATTGTTGTTAGCCTACTTGAATTATTTGTGATACCCACATTGTATTATCGAGTATACAGGGTAAAAATTATAATTTAATATACTTATTATTGTATTTAATTTAATCATGTTTTGCTTTAATATTTAGGCATCAATTAAGTTCAGAAATAAATGCAAAAACAAAGTCATAAATAACTTTCAAAGACAACAATCTGTGGACAAAAATGAGAAAATAATGCGCCGGGAGTTCCGAGTGGCCAAGACGTTGGCTGTGGTCACCATTGTGTTCATTGCATGCATTATACCGTTTACTGTCGTATATTCAATAACTCATTTCACCAATCTCACTTATCTACAAGTGACACGACTGCATGTGACCATTTGGATTGTATTTATTAATTCAACAATTAATCCAATACTCTATGGTTTACTGAATCGTGACTTTCGTAATGCATTTAAACTGCTGATGCATGTGTCCTAGACACTATTTTCAGTCCTAAAACATTAAGATTTATGTATATTAATTTATTTTAAAACAATTTCTCAAAATAATCTAGCACTGCCTTAATTATTGTCGTTATGTTTTCAATGAAACAAATATTGCTTTCTGAGGTTAGTTCATATGAAATAACGGAAAATACTTTGTAATCCTTTCAAAGAATTTAATTTAATAAATAACTATATTTTGTGAATCAATGTAAACTGCAAATATATTTCACTTCCTTTTGAATATTATTTTTCAAAGGAATTGTATTTATAATAGATATTTCATATTTATAATTTTATAGTGACAATGTTTTAATAAAATATAAAGTAATTTTAATTTACTTTTTTCACTATGAATTCAACACATATTTCAATTGAAAAGTTATATTTCATTCAATTCTTGTCAGCAATTATACTGTTTATAATAATATTCACTACAATATTGGGTAACTTATTGGTTATTACAGCGATTAAAACAACACCTAAACTCCAAATACGACCCAATTTTCTCATACTATCGCTCAGTATTACCGATCTTAGCGTCGGTATGTTTGCGATGCCACTTATGGCCTATTATAATGTGGTCGGTATTGATGAGTGGACAATGGGATCAGTTATGTGTGACATTAAGACATTTATTTCCATTTGTTTCACAACAACATCATATCTACACATTATGTTTATAGCCATCGATCGGTACCTATCGGTCACAAGAATAGAATACTCGAGGAATAAATCCAAATCACATGTAATGGCAATGATAGGTATCTCATGGATATTACCACTAATTTTTAATATATGGCCTATACTTGGGTTCAGAGATAACCAATTATTTTTGAGTAGAATTGATCAGAATTTATGCATTTCTATAGAAAGTATTGAACTTGTCAAAACATTTATTAATATATTCAGTGTAATTGAACCCATTATAATTACCATACTATATTGTATGGTATACAAGGTAGGAATGCCTTAAATATAATGTCATTATTTGTAAATAATCGTTAATTTAGTTTATTATTTCAAATACAGAAATCGACTGAATTCTCAAATAAATACAATAAAAGTGAAATAAATGAGTTTCAAAGACACAAATCTGTGGACAAAAATGAGAAAATAATGCGCCGGGAGTTTCAAGTGGCCAAGACCTTGGCAATCGTTACCATTGTATTCATCGCATTCATAATACCGTTTAATATCATTTATTTCATAACTGATTTCACCCATCTCACTTATCTGGAAGTCACACGATTTCATGCGAGCATTTGGATTATATATTTGAATTCAACACTCAATCCATTTCTCTATGGTTTACTTAATCGTGATTTTCGTATTGCATTTAAAAGGTTAATGTATATGTCGTGATCACTATTGCGATTAAAACAAAGTTTATAAATATCCTTGAACATTTTATACAGCACTTTCTTTACTAAGAAAGCAAAATAATTTATTTCCGCTATATGTTTGATACTAAATGTCATATAAAAGTATTTGCAATTAAATAATCCGCTAGCTTAAGTCATATTCAATTTCATAATTTATTCAAAAATATCATTTACAAAATGAATTCAACACACATTTCAAGTGATAAATTATATTTCATTCAATTTGTGTCATCAATATTACTGTTTATCATAATATTTGTTACAATTATTGGAAATGCTTTAGTAATAAATGGGATCATAATTACTCCAAAGCTTAATAATAAACAAAATTATCTCATATTATCCCTAAGTATTACAGACTTGTTTGTCGGCCTGTTGTTAATGCCTGTATTGGCGTACAGGGATGTCGTTCAGACCAGTGACTGGAAGTATGGATCAGTTATGTGTGATATCTACCACTTCCTAAACATCAACTGTACGGTCACCTCATATCTGCACCTCTTATTCATAGCCATCGATCGGTACCTATCGTTCACAAGACATCAATACTTGAGGAATAAATCCAAATCACATATAATGGCAATGATTGCTATTTCATGGATATTACCACCGCTTATAAGCATTTGGCCATTACTTGGGTTCAGGGATAACCACCTGTTTATGGATAGGATTAATAGGAATATATGCTATTCAGTGGGCAATAATAGATTGATTAAATCGGCTATACTTTCATCGGCTTTCATTGGATTCATAATAATAGCAATATTGTATTATAAAATATATAAGGTGAGCAAGTAACAATTTATTTATATACTGAAACCCTTATGTTTGGTATTACATTTCAGAAATTGGTTGAATTTAATCGCAAACTTAAACACAGACAGAGAAATGAGTTTCAAATCTTGAATGAGACACAGACTGTGGATAAATGTGACAAAACTATGCGACAGGACTTCCGAGTGGCCATGACTTTGGCTATCATTACAATTGTGTTTGCCTTAAGTTTGACACCATTTAGTGTCATATATTATATAACTGATGAGCAGTCAATAGATTACAAAAGGGTCATCCACTTTCATGTTTGCATGTGGATTGTATACATCAATTCAATGCTAAATCCAATCCTATACGGACTATTGAATCAAGATTTTCGTATTGCATTCAAATACCTATTGAATATGACGTAAAATTTCCAATTAATATCCTTGAACATATTGTATTTGAGTTTCTAAGGATTCATAATATTTGACTTCCTGCAAATTATTGTAAATTCATATTTAATTATAACAATAATAACATTTGTATGTCTTATAATTTATATCCCTTTGAATAATTATTATACAAAACAGAAATATTGTAAAAATAATTATACCGAGTATATTCTAAACGTCATTTTAAAATACTTCAAAAAAAATTATTTAATAATATTAATTTAATAATTAATTAAAAAGTATTATTTACAAATGAATTCAACACACATTTACTTACCATACTCTCACTAGCCTACTAATAATCTATTTTTTAGGTTTACAGAGAGTTTTACAAAATTATTAAAATACAATAGTTTGCGGATATAAAAGTAAGTTACAAAAGTGTTTTCTGAGAATTTCATTTATTATTATATTATTATATTTAAATATAGAACATTTTAAAATTTATATTACATTTATTACTACTTTTGTTTTGTTTTATTTTATTCCAAATATGAATTCAACACATATTTCAACTGATCAATTATATTTCATTCAATTCCTATCATCAATACTACTATTTATTATAATATTTACCACAATTATTGGCAACATTTTGGTGATCACAGCGGTGGTAACGACACCTAAACTCAAAATACGATCAAATTATCTGATATTATCTCTTAGTATAACCGATCTATGCGTCGGTGTATTCCTCATGCCTTTAATGGCTTATTACGAAGTCGTTGATATGGGTTACTGGATGTATGGGCCAGTTATATGTGACATTAAATACTTAATGACAACAATCTTAGTATAACCGATCTATGCGTCGGTGTATTCCTCATGCCTTTAATGGCTTATTACGAAGTCGTTGATATGGGTTACTGGATGTATGGGCCAGTTATATGTGACATTAAATACTTAATGACAACAATTTTTACATTAGCATCATATATACACCTCATATGCATAGCCATCGATCGGTACCTATCGGTCACAAGAATCCAATATTCAATGAATAAAAGCAAATCACATGTAATGGCAATGATTGGTATTTCATGGATATTACCACTGATTATAACCATTTGGCCCATACTTGGATTCAGAGATAACCAGATGTATAGGGATTTTATGAATGAAAATAAGTCATATAAGTCTTATATGTCATGCAACTGGAAATAACAAGTTTATCAGATATTGTATAAATCTGTTTTGTCTAATTGAGTTTTGCATAATTCCAACATTGTATTATGGAGTGTACAAGGTACGAGTTTAGTGTTATTGTTAGTTAATTACTACATTATTTATTTTTTAGGCATCAATTAAACTTGGAAATACACGCAAATACAGTGATATAAATGAATTTCAAAGACAACAATCTGTGGATAAAAATGACAAAATAATGCGCCGGGAGTTCAGAGTGGCCAAGACTCTAGCTATAGTTACCATGGTATTTGTGTTATGTTTGGCGCCATACAATGTTATGAATTATAGGCATATCATTAGTTCGCAAACACCAGATTACAAAGAGTTAGCGTATTTACGTACAACCATTTGGTTAGCTTGCTTCAATTCAACTCTAAATCCAATTCTCTATGCATTTCTTAATAAAGATTTTCGCGTTGCATTCAAACGGATATTATATTATAATTGATTTATAATAAACAATTAATTTATACAATATAGTAAGAATAACATTGAGTAATTTATGATGTATATATAATTGTAACCCGAGTTTATTTTACAACTACTGTATCAATTTACGAAAAAAAATAAATTTATTGTAAATTATAGATACAAATTATTTCAATAAAATCTATGGAAAATATATGAGCAAATATTGTATTAATCAGATTTTAAATGTAATGGCTTATTTCAATTATGGTATGATCTTTATGAATATAATTCAGTTATGTGAAAAATAATGTAAAAGTAATTGTAAACATTTAATATTTTATATAAATATTTCAATGAAAATAATGCATAATTCATAAAGAATTTGTAATTGATTTACAGGAAATATATGTATTTTATGTATTTTTTAAACAATTGACTGCCATAACTTCCATAATTAATATGCACCAGTATTTATGATATGAATAAAAGTTATAATTTATCCACTGTGCATTTACATCAACATTATATAGTATTACATACAGTATTTTGTTTAAAAAAATTTTTCTGTATTTTATTTGTGCAAAATATTTAGTAGTTTTATTAAAACTTGTATCATATTAACGGATTTAAAAGTAATAGTTATAAAAGTGTTTTCTAAGAATTCAATGTATCAGTATAATATTATATGCATATACTAATACATAGAATTTTGAAATTAACTTACATTTTATCGTTTTATTTGATGTTCAAAATGAATTCAACACACGTTTCATCCGATAAACTATATTTCATTCAATTCTTATCATCAATACTACTGTTTATCATAATATTCTTAACAATAATTGGAAACGTGTTAATAATAACCTCGGTCATAACAACACCTAAACTCAAAATACGTCCCAATTATTTAATACTATCGCTCAGTATAACCGATCTCCTGATCGGTGTCTTCTCAATGCCTGTTACGGCATACTATCGTATCGTATATGTAAGCGATTGGAAAATGGGATCAATTATGTGTGACATTCACTACTTCGTGACCGGGGTCTGTACGGCCTCATCATTTCTACACCTCATGTGTATAGCCATCGATCGGTACCTATCGGTCACAAGAATACAGTACTCGAGGAATAAATCCTTAACACATATAAAGACAATGATTTCATTTTCGTGGACTTTTGCTATACTTGTCACGTGTTGGCCCGTACTTGGGTTCAGAGATAATCAAATATTTATGGATAGAATCCGTATAAACCTTTGTGTACCGTCTGATAGAAATGATCTGGCTAAGATTGCAGTTCTCATGCAATACCTAATACCAATTTGCGTAATGGCACCACTATATTATGGCGTCTATAAGGTATTTCTTAAAAATAAGCTTTTAATTGTAAATTTATATTAAATTTCCTATTATATAAAATCCTTGACAACTATTTAGAAATCATGTAAATTAATTTTATTAAACTATTTAATTATAATTGAAATTGTATTTTTTAATTTAATTTATAGAAATCAATTGAATTCAAAAATAAGACTAAACCTAAAGAGACAAATGAATTTCAAAGACACAAACCATTGGATAAAAGTGACAAAATAATGCGCCGGGAGTTCCGAGTAGCAAGGACATTGGCTATCATTACCATTGTCCACATGTTATGCCTATTACCATTTAATATATTACTATTTACAACAGATATGAATGCCATTGACCACAAGTCTATGACAGGCCTCCTATCAGTCATTTGGTTAGTGTTTTTCAATTCAACACTCAATCCAATACTCTATGGTTTATTGAATAGTGATTTTCGTATTGCATTCAAACGATTAATGAATATGTCCTAGTACTTTTACTTTTTTAACTAATAAATAATCAGTGATTATAATATGTACCTCAGAATTTAGTATCAATTAAACAAATTTATTTTAACATTTGTTAATTGAAGTTTTCTCATTGTTTATATACGTTACTTGTGATTTAATATGCATGTTTGATATAAATGTTAATTTTTATAGTGTTTATTTGTGAAAATTAAATATTTTTAATATGTATATCGACAGGAATCTGGAAAATGACAAATGACAATATAATTTTCAATAAATTATACGTAATGTAAGGTTATTCAGTTGAATATAACCATTTGGATCGTATGTTTCAATTCAACATTGAATCCAATACTCTATGGATTACTGAATAGAGATTTTCGTATTGCATTCAAACGATTAATGAATATGTCCTAGTACAGTATTTCTACTTTTAGTAACTGATAAATAATCAGTGATTATAATACGTACCTCACATTTTAGTATCAATTAAACAAATCCCGTATTTTAACATTTGTTGATTGAAGTTTTCTCATTGTTTATATACTTTACTTATGATTTAATATGCGACAAACTATATTTACAATTAAAAATATCACAAATAAACACTTTTAATTTATAAAAATTATACATATAGCTGTCCTTAGACCTTTTACTGTTTACTGTTATATTAAAAGTTATTTAATATGCATTACAATAAGTAATGGATACTAAGAATACAATATAAATGTAATATTTAAGGAAATGCTGAAAATATATTTATATATCATAAATAGTCTAAATAAAATATATAGTGATTTTTATATTTATATTAATACAAAACATTAATAATATGTCATATTAGGATTGAATTATACTTAAGTTGTGTATAAAGGCGTTTACTAAATGAAAAGTATGTTAAGAACAGTAGTTAAGAGGTGTTTATTGTCATCTTTTCTACAATAATTGGTAATATTTTGGTCATAACAGCGGTTATAACGACACCTAAACTCAAAATACGATCAAATTATTTGATATTATCTCTGAGTATAACCGACCTCTGCGTCGGTGTGTTTGTAATGCCTGTTATGGCCTATTATATTGTTGTGGATGTAGGTGATTGGACACTTGGATCTATTGCATGTGACATTTATTATGTAGTTATAATAAATCTATCAGGCACATCATTTTTCCACATCATTGCCATAGCCATCGATCGGTACTTATCGGTCACAAGAATACAATACTCGAGGAATACATCGAATGGACATATAATAGCAATGATTGCCTTTTCGTGGATATTTCCGCCGATTATGACTATATGGCCCGTAATTGGTTGGAGGGATAACGAGATGCATATGAATAAGATTAATAGAAATATCTGTTACCCAATGGGAGATACTGTTACTGTTTTATATTGTACTCATTTAACAACTATAATTGGATATAGCATAATAGCCACATCATATTATATAGTCTATAAGGTACTAGTATACGTTATCCTGTATATGTATAATACTATATTACTTTAATAGTATTGTGTATCAATTATTACATTTTGAAATTTTTTAGAAATCAATTGAATTCAGAGATAAACTTAAAAACAGAGAAATTCGTGAATTTAAAAGACAACAATCGATGGATAAAAATGACAAAATAATGCGCCGGGAGTTCAGAGTAGCCAGGACGTTAGCCATCGTTACCGTTGTATTAGTGCTATGTTACACACCATTTAATATTTTATTTAATACAATTGATGTTGACAAATTAGATTCCTTAGTTATGCTAAAATTTCAAATAACCATTTGGATAGTGCTTTTGAATTCAACGTTAAATCCAATACTCTATGGATTATTAAATCGCGATTTTCGTATTGCATTCAAACGATTGTTAAAAATATAGTAAAATTATAATACTGTACTGTAATTAATACATATTAACAGTATTTATAATTTATAACAGTTAAATATTTATTATATAATATTCATATATCTACTGTATATGTATTTGTTTCTAAGAATACAATATAAATGTAAAATAAAATATGCAAGGAAACTAAATAAGGGAAATGTGTCTAGACTGTGTAGTAGTGTATATTAAATGTATGATAATTATTACTTTAAGTAAATAATTAAATTAATTATGAATTCCACACACATTTCAAGTGAAGAATTATATTTCATTCAATTCCTATCGTCCATAATATTGTTTATTATTATATTCATTACAATTATTGGTAACATTTTGGTGATAACTGCGGTCATAACGACACCTAAATTACAAATAAGACCTAATTTTCTAATACTATCGCTTAGTATAACCGATCTCTCCGTCGGTGTGTTTGTGATGCCATTCACCGCATACTATGATGTCTTGAAATTGAGTGATTGGACATTTGGCCCTGTTATGTGTGATGTTTACTATATGTTTATCATTAATCTCACGTCAACATCATATCTACACCTCATAGTCATAGCCATCGACCGCTACCTTTCGGTCACAAAAATTCAGTATTCAATGAATAAAAGCAAATCACATGTAATGGCAATGATTGCCTTTTCGTGGACTTTCCCACCCCTAATAACTATATGGCCTATACTTGGATGGAGGGATACCCGGGTATATACGGATAGGATACGCAAATACGTTTGTTATGCAGCGGGCAATAATGTGCTTGTTAAATATTCTATCATTTCTGTCAGTCTAATTGGATTCTGCATAATACCCACATTATATTATCGCGTATACAAGGTAGTTTTATTTAACATTTTATTTATAATTTAACGTAAAATATATTATTTATTCAAATTATCTTTTCAGAAATCAATTGAATTCACGAAAAAATGCAAAAACAGAAAACGAGTGACTTTTCAAAAGCAAAAATCAATGGATAAAAAGGACAAACTTATGCGCCGGGAGTTTCAAGTGGCCAAGACTTTGGCTGTGGTTACCATTGTATTTGTGTTATGTTTGACACCATTTAACTTTATGTATTATACGATTGATTTTAATACATTAGATAACAGACAAATGATTCATTTAAATATGACCATATGGTTAGTGTATCTAAATTCCACATTAAATCCAATTCTGTATGGATTACTAAATAGGGATTTTCGTGCTAGATTCAAAGCATTCATTATGAATTAGTTACTTGACACATTATTTGACTTGATATGAGTTACAATAATTATTAATTAAATAAATTAAATTAAATTTTAGATTAGAGTCAACCATTGAGTGGGTGCTATGTAGTAAGTGGGTGTGCCGTTAGACTACCGGTGACCCTCTCATTGAGATTATTTTGAATGACATGCTTTATTAAGACAAAAATGTCAAATGTAACAATAAACCAAAATAAAAATCATTAATTTTAGAAACATTTTGAAAATATAAATAACTGCCAAATAATTTGCAAATTGTTTTAAACAAAAGGAGACTAAGAATTAAGTGAAAGACAACTGATTTGAGAGACAAACGAATGCCGAAGAAGAGTAGCAAAGGACCCAAAGAGGGGAGAGTCCGGTCGACCGACACATCCAGGGGTAGAGTCAGGGGTCAGACACAGACTAAAGTGATCGACGACTTGCTCGAAGAGATTCTGGACTTTATTTTCAACAAAATCGACTTTCGGTCACAACTGAGCGCTCAGGCGGTGTGTTAGCGATGGCGAGATGTCCTCCAAGGGCTGTGGGCTAAGAAAATCACAGTTTATATCGAAGATGGCTTTACTAGACTCTACTGCATGTCGTCCTTCGAGAGAACCACCAAACCATAAGTACTACGAATATCCCAACCGAATGACCATTGATTTGTAGGAATCCATTCACGCATTGGCGGGAAAGTCACCACAAAATCGGGTCACAAACGAACGCAAACAAGACAGGAAGTGGACGCGGGCTGACCTCCCAAACCCGGGTCACCCGGACTACTCATTTGGTGAGCCTGGTCAAAAGGGTAACCACGACTCACTGCTGGCTGAGCACGGCTTCGAGTCGGTCCAGTGTATCGCGCGGGACGACCGCAACCCCTATGACACGCAGGTATGGCTCATACGGCACCGGAAGTCGGGCCTACATTACGAGTGCAAGATAAGCAACATTCAGTACCACAGGTGTCGGCGCCCGACGTTCGCCGCCTCCGCGGCCGCCCTACTCCGGGAGGCGGACACACTCGTAGAGCTCCAGCACCCGAATATAGTGGAGGCGCTCGCCGTGTTTGGCCTCCACAACCCCACCACTGGCTTTCCCTACGGTTTTCATTGCTGCGTAATAGACCGCATGTCCGGTACACTACAGTCCCTGCAGAAAAGCTACTCAAACGGTTGCCTACCGGAGCCCAAAGCGTGGGAGTGGTTCTGGCAAATAGCGTCGGCCGTGGACTACCTTCACAACCGGATTGGGTCGGGTATTAGGGTCAGCCACCTGTCCATACAACCCGTCCATATACTATACAAAGTGATCGATGAGGCGCTCAATCGGTGTACCTATAAGTTGGCCGACTTTGAGGAGTGCCTCACGTTTGAAGAGGACTGGGATGATGTCTACCCGCACGGGAATCGTGGCTATCGTACGAACGGGTGGTCGGCACCCGAGATGTTAAATCGCGGCGCCTATGGAAAGGCCACCCGTCCTATGGATGTGTACAGTCTGGGCCACACATTGCTGACCAGTCTCTTGGGTGAGCACCGGCACCGACACCGCAATATGTGGTTAATAGCGACCGGACGTATGTCCGAGAGTAGTGTGAGTGGTGTGGACAGGGAGCTCATTATGAATCTCACCCGGGATGTAGTGAATCTTATTCGAGACACCCAGTCGTCCAAAACTGAAAAGAGGATTACCATTGAGGGGGTGCTCTGTAGTAAGTGGGTGTCCCGTTAGACTACCGGTGACCCTCTCAATGAGATTATTTTGATTGAAATGTTTTATTAAAACAAAAATATTTGCGATTAAAGTGTAATATTAGGCAAACATTTTATTTTATGTTATAAAACTTATTTAGTATTACTGTTACATGAATTGAATTATAGGATAGTAGTTTTGCAAAATAATATATTATGGCCAAGATACATTGTTTAGTTTTGTATGACTTAAAGTAAGATTAGTACAAAAATATTCATTGATTCTAACCTTTTGTTTGATTGTTTCAACAAAAAGTTCACTGTTTGTCCAAAAAGTCATATTTTATTGCATAACAACGAGTGCCACAAAATTAAAAACTTTTTGATTGAAAAACTAAAACCAAAATTTAAATCTCTTTGATCTGAAGACACGAACACATACACAGGACAGACACCCCACACAATGGCAGTACAACCACCTGAAATGATGGGTGTGTTCAAGGAGGTGGACAGCGAGGGCTTCGAAACGGGTATATCGTGGCGATGGGGTGACCTGCCCTTCAAGACCAGGGATCCCAAGTACTCATTCCACGCGGACGCGCACCGGGACCATCACGTCCGGCTCCTGGCCCAAAGGGGTTACCAACTGGTGGGAGGAAGACCATTCTCGTATGAGTCCGACAATCTCTACGACAACCAGTTGTGGTTCGCGCGCGACCTCAACAACAACGGCGAACGGGTGGCCCTCAAGGTGTCCAGTATTGTGTACTTCAAACGCCACACAATGTCGGCAGCCGTGGCCGCCCTTCGGAAAGAGGGTGAGACCCTATTGGCACTCAAAAACTCTCATATCGTAGTTGTGGACGACATCTTCGGCCTCCACGACCCCAACTCCGGCTTTCCCTACAGTTTCCACTGCATGACTATGGAGCTCATGGACGGGGATTTAGATCAATTGCAGGCAACATACTGGTCCCTCACACTACCTCAACCCATGGCTATAAACTGTTTTATCCAAATTGCAAAAGGGATTGAATATTTGCACACTAACATCGGCGGCGCTTATCCAGGCTATACAGTCAGCCACCTGGCCATCAGACCGGCGAACGTACTGTTCCGGCGAAAACAGAAGCGAATATTGTTTAAGTTAACGGACTTCGAGGAAAGTATGAAATACCCCAGAGGTGTGCCTGATTACTTCCCGGTAGACTCACGTATACGATTGAATGACAGTTCGGCGTACGAACTCTCACAACTGGATCCATTTGATACAAAACCTGACCGGCCGTTCGGGACTAAATCCATGGATATCTACTCATTGGGTCACGTGCTTCTCAGCACTTTAATCCCTCTAAACTGGTCCGATGAGGGCTTCCAGGAAGCGGTGGCCCTCATATTCAATGAGTCGAATAACACTGCGCGTAAAATTGGTATCCCTGAGCGGCGTATACTCTGGTCCTGTCAGAGAATTCGCGTCCGACTTATGAGCTCAAGGATTAAACGGTTGATCAGACACTGTTTAGACACTAATGCTGAGAGGCCTTCGATAACAGATATATAATAGATTTCAATAGATTTATAGATTTCTATAGATTTATAGATTTCTATAGATTTATAGAAATCTATAGATTTATAGATTTCTATAGATTTATAGATTTCTATAAATCTATAGAAATCTATAAATCTATAGAAATCTATAAATCTATAAATCTATAGATATCTATAAATCTATAATTTCTATAGATATCTATATATCTAAAGATTTCTATAGATATCTATAGATTTTTTATATATCTATTATTTAAATATCACATTATACAGTTTTACAGTGCAGTCCAGTAGATATAACTTAGGATACAAAATAAAACGATAGATATTGAAAATATGAGAAACCAACTATTATTTCAAATGAAACAAAATATTTTAACATAATTCTTGTAATTTTTTTAATTTAATTATAATTAAAATGTTATTTGCACAAATACTTGCAATATTACTTGTAATTTGTAATTATTTATAATTTTGTAATTGCGTAGACAGTAATTTCAAAGGATATTATATAGATATAGATATTCACGATATAATTTGTAGGAAATTAAACAAACATTTACAGGATAATGATTTTAGTAGTAAGCATAATAAATAACTAAAATAAATATTCTCACTTTAATTCTCATTTAAATAAAATACAGTAGTTTATGGCATAAAATTTATATAAACATGAATTTAACACATATTGAAAGTAATCAAATATATATCATACAATTTCTATCAGCAATACTACTGTTTGTTATAATATTTGTTACAATTGTCGGTAACATCCTGGTCATCTCAGCGGTTATAATTACACCTAAACTCCAAATACGCGCCAATTACCTGATACTATCTCTGAGTGTAACGGACTTATGTATCGGTATGTTTGCCATGCCCATTTTGGCCTACAATAGTATCGTTGAGTTGAATGACTGGAAAATGGGCCCTGTTGTTTGTGACATTTACTACTTTATTATCATTAACCTCTCGTCCACATCATATCTACACCTTATAGTCATAGCCATCGATCGGTACCTATCGGTCACACGAACCCAGTATTCAATGAATAAAAGCAAATCACATGTAATGGCAATGATTGGCATTTCGTGGACATTCCCACCGCTTATGACAATTTGGCCCATAATTGGGTTCAGGGATAACCAGGTGTTTATGGATATGATTGACAAGAACATTTGCTATTCACCCGGTAACAATATGTTGGTCAGGTATTATATTAACACAGTTAGTTGTATTGGATTTTGCTTAATACCAACTTTATATTATAGAGTGTACAAGGTATAAATTGTTGAAATAATGTATTTATTGTGTAATTGAGATATTATATTATATTTAGAAATCAATTGAATTCAGAAATAAATGCGAAAATCGAGATAAATATCAAAACCATAAATCTATGGATAAAAACGACAAAATAATGCGCCGGGCAAAGTGGCAAGGACAGTTGCCGTAGTTTCAGTTATATTTGCATTATGTTTAACACCATTTAATATTGTTAATTATGTAATTGATTTCAATACATTAGATTACATTCAGGTTATTCAGTTGAATATAACCATTTGGATCGTATGTTTCAATTCAACATTGAATCCAATACTCTATGGATTACTGAATAGAGATTTTCGTATTGCATTCAAACGATTGTTCAAAATATAGTAATACTGTAGTTATTAATGTATTTATAATAAAACAGTTAATATATTTAATATACAATATTAATATATCTACTGTATATGTATTTGTTTCTAAGAATACAATATAAATGTAAAATAAAATATGCAAGGAAACTAAATAAGGGAAATGCGTCTAGACTGTGTAGTAGTGTATATTAAATGTATGATAATTA